AAAAAAAAAAAAAAAAATAGTTAAGCCCTAGGTTCCACTCTAAAGGAGTGGCCAGTATATTTCAGCCAATCATTTAGTAGCTCTGCTATTAGTTTACTTGGAATTACTTTAAGAATTAAGACCATAACTAGTCAAATGGGACTAGGCTAATTAATAACTACTAGTGTGGCTGGGTGACCATGGCTCACACCTGTAATCCTAACTACTCAGGAGGCTGTGATCTGAGGATTGTGTTCAAAGCCAGTCTGGGCAGAAAAGTCATGAGACTCTTATCTCCAGAAAACCAGAAGTGACACTGTGGATCAAGTAGTGGAGCACTCGCCTTGAGCTGAAGAGCTCAGGGAGAGCACCCAGGCCGAGTTCAAGCCCCACGACCGACCAAAAAAGGAAAAAAATAGGGGCTGGGAAGGTGGCTCAGTGGTAGAGTGCTTGCCTTGCATGCATGAGGCCCTGAGTTAGATTCCTCAGCACCACATAAGCAGAAAAAGCCAGAAGTGGCGCTGTGGCTCAAGTGGTAGAGCGCTAGCCTTGAGCTGAAGAGCTGAGGGACAGTGCCCAGGCCCAGAGTTCAGGCCCCATGACCAGCAAAAATAAATAAATAAAATAATAATAATCACAAATGTATTTGATGTGCATTGCTATTTGTTTCATTGTATATTGTGTAGTTATGTTGTAGTGAGGGTGGAGTTATTCAGGAACAAAAACTCCAGTGATACCTACTGTATTCCCAGTGTTGCCTGCCTCCTTAGATCACTGGGTAAAGCCAGAGTACAAATTTGAGGCCCAAAGCATTCACTTTAGAATCCCAGAGAAGTGGATCTTTCACAAGCACAGTGGGTGATTTCCTTGGTGAGGTAGTTTGAGAACTATAAAATTAGTTTCCTCTACCTAATATATGGAAGTTCCATAAAAATTTACATTGGGAATCTAAAGCTTCCCAGCATAGTACATAACTTCAATTTAGCTGTTTCTTTATATAATAGATGTTTAGTTTTTGGGAAGGATGTGTACTATCTTCATAGACATTCTAATCTAGTGTAGGTCAATCAATAATGTATCATTTTGACTCAGCAAGTCTTGATTCAATTGCATTCATAATTGCTAACTCTCGTCCCAGGCAGTCTCCTATCTAATTGCTATAATGTGATCCTTGAACTTCAGGTTCATCATCAGAAATATTTTTCTTAACAAAAGAAATTGAGGTTAGCTGTAGTATGTGAAGAAAGTGGCCAGGCCTGCTTCTCAGAAACTACCTGGAGTGGGGTTGTGTACAGATGCAGAAGAAAGCTCATGCATTCAAGAGTTTAGTTAGTAAATTCCCAACTGTTGAGCAATTGAGGAGCTAAACTGGAAAGATTGGATTTGTATTTGGAACACCTTCTAACTAATTTCTTGGTGGGGCTGTTGAGTTATTTATAAACTTACCTCCCCATCAAAGTCACCTTATATCACAAAATGCTAAAAATGTATTAGAGATAAAATTTTCATAGCAACTACTTAAACAGACAGGAACAGTGAATTCCTTTCTGCCTTTCACACACATGAATTCACCTTGTAATTTAGATAAAGTTGTCCACTTTTTTTCAGTCCCAGTATCTTCACTGTGAAAAGTTTGGAGTCAAGAACTGATTAACTACAACAGTGAGGGGAATGTGTTTGAGAAGGGATTGGGTTTTAGCTTTCATAATTGATAACCAAAAGTATTTCATGGACCATTCCTATGCTTTTTTTCAGGCACTGGCTTGCCCGAGAATATGTCTGGTTTATAATTCCATACATGGTTTATGACATTTGGGCCATGTACCTTTGTGAGTGGTGCCGAACCAGCGACCAGAACCTCAGATGCACCCTCATTTTTCGAAACTTCCTGAGTCAAAACCGCCTCATGATCACTCACCACGTAGTCATTCTGTTAATCTTGGTGCCAGTTGCACAGGTATGGCCTTGCAAGACAGTGGTCTTGGTCACTTGTTTTTCTCCTGGTGATCTGGATGTGTTGGCCTTTATTTAGGAGTCAAGTACCCCACTCCCTCCCTGTTTTTACTGTACTCTCCTGTACCAGGTGCCTCAGCAGTTCAGTCCCCCTGCAAATAATGGAGGAAAATCATCACATGCATGACATTTTTTTTGGGGGGTCCGGTCGTGGGGCCTGAACTCTGGTCCTGGGCGCTGCCCCTCAGCTCTTCAGCTCAAGGCTAGCGCTCTGCCACTTGAGCCACAGCACCACTTCCGGCTTTTTTCTTTTTGCTTATGTGGTGCTGAGGAATCGAACCCAGGGCCTCAGCCATGCAAGGCAAGCGCTCTACCACTGAGCCACCTTCCCAGCCCCATGCATGACATTCTTGATCCTTCTTACCAACAATATTTAGCAATCCTCTGGCTCTGTGATTCCTTAACATTTGTCAAAGGTTCACAACTAGAATGTGAAACATTGTGACCCTGCCAGAGAGTACTGTTGAGTGTACTGTCTAGTACTCACAAAAACACTCTCTCAAAGCACATAACTCATAATTCTCTCTAGATCAATTTGCCCATTAAAAATCCTCCCACAGGGCTAGGAAGGTGGCTCAGTGTGCTTGCCTTGCGTGCATGAGGTCCTGTGTTCCATTCCTCAGCACCACATAAGAAGAAAAGGCTGGAAGTGGCATTGTGACTCAAGTGGTAGAGCACTATCCTTGAGCTGAAAAGCTGAGGCCCAGAGTTCAGGCCCCAGGACAGCAAAAAAAAATAAAAATAAAAAAATTCCATAGCCGGCGCTGGTAGCTTATGCTATAATCCTAGCTACTCAAGAGGCTGAGATCTAAGGATCCCAGTTCAAAGCCAGCCAGAGCAGGAAAGTCCGTAAGACTCTCCAGTTAACTACCAGAAAACTGGAAGTGGCGCTGTGGCTCAAAGTGGTAGAGTACTAGCCTTTAGCAAAAAAGCTCAGGAACAGTGCCTAGGCCTGGAGTCAAAGCCCCACTACTGACAAAAAAAAAAACCCAAAAAACAAAACACCCACAGTTGGGCAGTTTGTTCAAGCTTGTAATTCTAGCTACCTGAGATCAGAGGATTCTATGGTTTGAAGTCAAACCAGGCAGAAAAAATCTCCAATTAACTAGCAAAACACCAGACTAGAGGCATGACTTAAGTAGTAGAGCACCAGCCTTGAACAGAAAGTCAAAAAAGAGCACAAGGCCCTGAGCTCAAAGTACCAGCACAAAACCAAACTAGTAACATGTATTAAAGAAGAAACATGGTGACACAGAAAGGAAAATGGTAATCTCCTTGATTTAAAAGCTCATAGATTGGTAAATATTAGAAATTATTATTAGCCATGTGGCCTAGATGAAGAAATGGGAACTCTGAGGGCTTACTTACCTCCCCTAGTAGTACTGAGTGACAGTGACTATGCTAGATTGCTATCTTGAAAAGGAAAAAGGAGAGGTAGACCTCATTCCATCTTTAAAGAGTCTTTCCTGATTGTGCATACTTTGTTGAGCTGAACAGGATCAGTGCCCTGACATGACTGAGATACAGGAAAGGCCATAGAGTTCCTTCAAGCTGTCATTGAAATTCAGATAAAGCTTGGTATGTGATGCAATGAGCTATACCTGCCTTTGCCTCTAGAGCTTGGGGATTAGACCATCAATGTGCTGTTGCCATGGAAGCAGCAGAATATGAACTGTATCCTATATTATCCTCTCCCATCGTAGCCTCTCTCCTGGTTACCCTTGTCAATAGCCCTAGTTAGAATTTTTCTTTAGTGGAAGGTTTCTTTACCTTTTTTCTAGCTGGATGCCAGTGGCTCATGCCTGTAATCCTAGCTACTCAGGTGGCCGAGATCTAAGGATCTTAGTTCAAGTTCAAAGCCAGTCCAGACAGACAAATCTGGGAGACTTTTATCTCAAATTAACCAGCAAAAAGTAGAGGTGTGGTTCATGTCATAAAGCACAGGCTCTGAGCAAAAGTAGGTAAGCAAAAGCACTAGGCCCTGAGTTCAAGCCCCAGTACCAGCACAAAAGAAAACTAATAAATTAACCTTTTCCTTTTTTTTGTTCTCTTCCCTTTACTCATCTGCAGAAGCTCCGGGGAGACCTTGGGGACTTCTTTGTTGGCTGCATCTTCACAGCAGAACTGAGCACTCCATTTGTATCATTGGGCAGAATTCTGATTCAGGCATGTATCCATGAAGTGGCAAAAATAGGACAGAAGGGAATAGACTATTTTTCCTTTGGAGATTATGAGGTTTGGAGGAATTCCCTAATGCTAGGAATAGAATATAAAACTATTCCATGGACTTAGTTCGTTATCTAAGCCAGTGAGGATGAAACCCAGGTTTTATATAGATGGTTGTATTTTTTTCCCCTAGTACCAGATCTTTTGCTTCCAATCAATTGCTTCTATCAGGTGGGTGGCTTAGACCAAATTCAACATCACTATTGGAAAAACTGTGAGACCATATGTGTGTAGAAATCCACAATGCCTTGTAATCATTTATGTAAGTACCAGAAAACTAGGTGCCTGTCTAGGTGTCAAGGAATATGACAGCCAAGGAATGTGATTTGTACACAGATTTACCTGTCCTTTACCATTGTGACACTACCAGGATGTCCCATCCTTCTAGTGACCTTGCATTCTCCTCCTCTTACAGCACAAGCAGCAGCATACCCTTCTCTTCAAGGTGAATGGAATCCTCACACTGGTTACGTTCCTTATTTGTCGGATCCTCCTTTTCCCCTTCATGTACTGGTCCTATGGCCAACAAATGGGACTAAGCCTGTTTCAAGTGCCATTCAATATCCCTTTCCACTGCAATGTGGCCAATGGCTTCCTCATGGCTCCCCAGATCTACTGGTTCTCTCTACTGTGTAAGAAGGCAGCTCGGCTCTTTGACCCTGCCCAAGCCAAAAAGAATGGTTAATTGCTCCCAGGAGGCAGGGTGCCTCCTCCTCTCAGTATTCCATGGACCAAATTATGCCCTGGACGGCAGATGGATTTGATTTAAAAAAAAAAAATTCTGAACCTCCCTTTTCTAACCTGGCCCTCTTGCAAAAGCACTTTTTTTTTCTTGGTGACAGTTATTAGACCATGCCAGACTTCCACTGGCAGCAGAGTAGTTCTTAGGCCTTATCTCAAGAGCACTGAGGTAAAAGCATGGAATGTAGAGGCTAGTGGACCAGGGCGAAGTGTGTCTCACCTCTTTGGTGGCTACCCACCTTTCCAACACTCAGGGTACTATCCACAATACCAGGCCAGCAGAAGCAAGTGGTGAGTTGGTTCTTGCAATAGTATCATCTTGTAGTGTTGGCCTGAGAAAATCATTGTGGATATATAGTTTTTGTTTACTAGATAGCCTGTTAATGGCTCCTGGCCTCATCGTCATCATCGTGTCAACAGTGAACTCTCCTGTGTACTGACTTCCAATCAGAAGATCAGAAGGCAGAGCTGGGAACTTGAAGCACTTGAATAGGTCAGGAGGCCAGCAGAGGCCAGCACCTTTACAGCTGGATAACTTGCTAAAGAAAAAGACCAAATATCAAATCTGTGAGCTTATCACAGTCATAAACACTACTCCGTTTTTAGCACAACCTCATATCCAGCTTTCCCTATTTCCATATCATAGGATGCTTTTACAGAACTACAGGGGCAAGTAGCTATTCACTGAGTAACCCCACGGCTAATACTGTCTTTTACAAGCAAAATGGGAATGGATTTCTGCCCTCCCAACTGTGAGATGTCTCATCCATGACACAAAGTACTTTTCCCAGAACCTCCTAAGCCAGGCCGATTCCTGTGTTGATTGCACTGCCATTTAGCCACAGAAGGCTGGAGAGCAAGAGGGCAGCTGGCTCCACCCAAAGCATGTCCCCAGGAGCAACGCCTTCCCCTATGTTTGCAAGTAGGATCCTTTGGTGCCAACACTAATCACTCCTTCCCCTGTGGGAAGGCTTTGAGACACTTTTACAAGTGGTAGTAAAAAAAGCTAGAATTTTAAAAGTGCCTTAAAACTCATTATCCATGAACTTTTAAAGGATTATACAATCATGTCTCAAATTTTGACTGTCTTTAATAGGTGCCATTTAAAAAATATAAAATGCTTTGATTTTTTACCTTTTATTGTCAATGTATCTTTGTAAGTCATCCATGTTCATTAAATTGCACCAACTTTCCAACTTGTGAAATACATCAGGACTGACTTCCTGCAACAACCATCCAAGGTTGGCTAGGAATGTGGCTTAGTGGTAGAGTGCTTGTCTAGCATATGTGAAAGCCCTAGGTTTGATTCCTCAGTACTACATAAACAGAAAAGGCCAGAAGTGGTGCTGTGGCTCAAGTGGTAGAGTACTAGCCTTGAGCAAAGGAAGCTCATGGACAGTGCCCAAGCTCTGAGTTCAAGCCCCAGGACTGGCACAAAAAAAGAACCATCCTGTGACCCAGTGTGGCTGGCTGCCCTATGCTATCGTCTGGTCTGTTTATTCGCACAGTGGCATGATACCTTCAGTCTTGCTCCTGCCTTATGTTAACTCTAGGTCCCAAGAATTCACTTAAGGTGCTAAATTAAGCTGGGCGCTAGTGGCTCACGCCTGTAATCCTAGCTACTCAGGAGACTGAGATCTGAGGATCACAGTTCAAAGCCAGCCTGGGCAGGAAAGAGACTCATCTCCAATAAACCACTTAGAAAACTGGAAGTGGAGCTCTGGCTCAAGTGGTAGAGTGCTAGCCTTGAGCTGAAGAGCTGAGGGACAGTGCCCAGGCCCAGAGTTCAAGCCCCATGACAAAAAAAAAAAAAAAAGTACTAAGTTCAAGCTCAGTGATCACAGGTCATTTTAGGTCTAGGTCTTATCATAGGTGAGTCCCAGTTAGGCATTGGGAGGGTTGAAGCCTGATCCTGAGTCACAAAGCCAATTTACTTTGGGTGGGGAGTAAACCTGAGTAGCACCCCATTTTGAATGAGGGCATGGAAATGTATAGTACATCTTTTCCCTCCCAAAATACACCTCCCCAACCAGTTCTTAACAGTCCTGTAATAACACTCATTCTGCTTTTGCACAGCCCATTGCGATCCCACTCAGCCCCAGGCAGAATGTAATCACACCCATCCTATAAGCACACATCCATTGTTCACCACTCCTGGAGTTAGTCCTATGTGGGCTGAGTAGTGTTAGGGTTGCCTGGCAGTCCTCCTCTCAGAACACACTCATGTTACTGGTGTTCTCTCCCCACCCAACAATTGTGTTTCTTGCTTCTATCCTCCTGTCCTACAAAGTATCCACTTCTCCAGTGTACAAGTCACAAGACCAATCAGCAGAACCTGGGCCCAAAGCTCTTTTTGGAGTTGTTGCCCTTTCTGATTCCTTGTTAGAAAAAAAAAAAGTTTAATACTGGAAGGACAGAAAGAACACACATCCTTTGTATATAAGTATGCATGTATGTATATTTAAAAAAATTTTTTGTTGTTGGTCATGGGACTTGAACTCGGTTTGGGTGCTGTCCCTCAGCTCTTCAGCTCAAGGCTAGTGCTCTACCACTTGAGCACAGCACCACTTCTGGTTTTCTAGTGGTTTATTGGAGATAAGAATCTCACAGGCTTTCCTGCCTGGGCTAGCTTTGAACCGTGATCTTCAGATCTCAGCCTCCTGAGTAGCTAGGATTATATGCATGAGCCACTGTTGCCCAGCTACATCCTTTTTTTTCTCCCTGCTTTGAATAGTTCTCAGGCTCATTTGTCAAGGTCTAAGGCAGAGAATTTCATTTATGAACATGTTCTGCCCAGCATTTTTCCCCCCTTTTGCTAGTACTGGGGTTTAAACACAAGACTTTCATACTTGTTTGCTTGGGTTGAACCATGCCTCCAGCCTAGCTTTTTGCTGGTTTCAGAAATAGTCTCATGGACTTTTCTTCCCTGGCTGGCTTCAAACCATCATCTGGATTTCAGACTTGACATTACAAGCATTAGCCAATGATGGCTCACTCCAGTTTGCTTATTTTCCATTTATTTTTGAGACAGTTCTGTGTAATCCAGGCTAGCTTCAAACTTACATCCTCCTGCCTCAGCCTCCCAAATGCTAAGATTCTAGGCATGAATTATGTATGATGCCTGGCCTGTTTTAAAGACAACTTGGTATATTTGATACCAATTTATTGCTGAGAGAGACTCAAAAGAGAAGATAAAATTCAAGAGAATTTTATTATAGTCTGTATGTTATAAATACCTAAGAAACTATTTTCTTTTACTGCTATTGCCATATACCTTCTAGCCTGTGTACAATTTCACAAAAAAGTTTGTTTCTCAACTCCAGAGTCCACAGAAGCACCATAGCGAAGCTATTTTCTGCCCCATAAAGATCAGAAGTTGCTGATCTTCTGCAACAGGGTTTGACGCCGTTCCTCAGGGCTAATGTTCTCGGCAATAGACTTTAAGAAGCGCTGCTCATTTACCTTCTGGAGCAAGGAGCTAATAGAAGGGTTGGTCTTGCTTAGGGTTTCATAGCAGGTAAGTATTTCTAAGGCCAACACGTAGAGTGGTTCACAGACCTCTTGCTGGAGCATGGCCATGATGTGCAGAACATGACAGAACATCTGGGTATAAACGAATAGGGCTTCCTGAGTCAGGTCCTGGTCTTGCCCTTGGGCCCAGGGCCCCCCCGACTGTATCAACCTAACTGAGTCCAGGAGATTGGTCAGACTGCCACAGAGGAGTTTGACCACATGGCTCCAGCCTTCCATGGGAAGCCAGTTACGACAGCTCTGGCTGCAGAGAAACTGGAAAGCTCTCAGGAAGAGGACAGAGAGCTGGAGCTCCTGGGCAAAGGGCTTCAGGTTGAGCAGTGGAACAAACTGAATGTATTCCAGGGTGTAAGGGACATGGAGGAGCTGTTTCTCTAACAGTCTCCTGGTCAGCTGATGAAGGCACTGCCATTCCTGGGGGCTGCACCAGGGCATGACTTGCACCAGGGCCACCAGAAAGCCCTTGCTGAACAATCTGACTTCCTCAGGATTGCTCACATCCACCACCAGGACTGAGAGCATCTGCTCAGAGATGCTGCTGGAAATGTAGCAGCACTCCATCCATGCAAGCAGCCCTGTCCCAGGCCCGTAGCCAGGGTGGGCCTGGGAGGTCCACTCTGCCTCAGAAAGCTTACAGATCTCAAAAAGTGTGGCTGGCACTTCACATTTGAAGTGGCCCTCGAAGAAGTTCTTCAGTCTCAGGCCCACAGTCCAGTCTAGCTGCTCCAACTTCCGGTGGAGCCAGGACAAGGACTTGATCCAGGTATCGGGGGAGAAGGTCTCTGCATTGCCTAACACAATCGCACAGAGGAGCTCCAGGATGCGGATCACTAGATCCTTTCCATCTAGAGGGAGGCTCCGCTTCTCCTGAGGGAGCTGCCAGTACTTGGTGAAGCTGTCCAGGAGCTGGCACAAACTGAAGAGGATGGGGAACGGGGAACAGGTCTGGAGCCAGTATTCCTCTAAGCCTGCATCGGCTTCAATGGTCTGGATGAAGATCTTCAGACTGAGGTCTACCACTTCGACATCCAGCATCAGGAAAGGCAGGACAAATTCCCTCAGCACCTCGTCAGGTTCCAGAAGTGCAGCGACTGGGATCCCCTGGGGCTTCACAGGACTCATCAGGCAGCTCAGGAGTTCTAAAAATTGCTTTTCTTCCTTGGGTGTAGAAAACTTTGTCCAGACGGTTTCTTTGAGGCATGACACCACGAAAGTGGTGGATGAATTTGGCCCTTGCTCTTCTGTGAACCTAAGGGCTGGGAAGGCGGTGAGAATCTGAGCCAGGAACCTGTGGGTACCAAGGTTGATCACAGCCATGCTGCACATCTTCTTTACCGTGACTTCAGGGTGTAGTATTACCAGACGGGCCACAGATGCCACAGCTTTAGCCAAGCCCTGCTCCGAGGTACTCTGTGTGAGCTGGTTAAATGTCATATTGAGGTCTTCCTGAAAACCCTCCAAGTAATCTAGCAATCTTTCAGAGAGACCCTTTCGTCCCCAGCAGTGCAGAACACCTGAGAGCACTTTGTTTTTGTCTGGCAGTGAGAGGTCTGCATAGCATTCTAAGATCAGGCCAATCACCTGTTTGATCTGAGACTGGGGGATGTTTCTGTCGGTCATGGTGACTTCCATTACTGTTTCCAGTAGCCTCAAAACCAAGTCTGGCTCTCGGAAGAGAGCCCTGTTACTAACAAGGCAGGCCACCCACTCATCAGAGAAGGCCCACTTCTTCTCAGAAGCAAAAATGTAACACATTTCCATATGCCGGTCCATCTTCTGCTCAATGATGGCCATGGTGATGGAGGCTGTGATGTCCTCAACGCTCTTGTTGTTCAACACCCTGCTGGTTTTCTGCAGGAAATCTTTAACACATTCAGCCAGCTCAGAGACCACTTGTCTCTCCTCCTTGGACAAGCTGGTGGTATCCAGGTAGAGCTTCAAGTTCTGGCTGAAGGAAGTCAAACTGTCACACAACCGGTAGCTATCGTAGTTGGTGCCCTGACTACTGTTGAGCATGACCTGTAGCTCCTCCCCCCACTCCTGCAGCAGACTGTGCATGAACTCAAACCCAACAAAAATGGTCTCGCTGGGGAGTTTGGCCAGTGAGGTCAGGCTGACATCCCGCTCTGCTTCCTTTACCTTCTCTGCCAGTGCCTGCTGATGGTATGGGTTCTGAGTGTCTGAGTTCCACACAGAGATCACTGTGGCTAGTTTGTCTAGATACATGGTTGCAGACACTTCCTGGGGGTCATCGTCCATAAGGGCAAATACTGTCAGCATGTCGGCCAAGTTGGCTAGTGCACAGCACTTCATCCCAAGACACAGGATTCTCTTCTGGATTTTCTTCAGTCCATTAAGCAGCATGGCCAATAGAGGCATGGTGGGACACACATCTGGGTCTGACTTAAATCTCTTTGGAGGATGGGAAAACTCATCCGAAGAGGGCAAGTACTTATGAGCCATTATTGTAAACTGCGATAGCAGAGGGTCTTGCTGATTGCCCTTATGTTTCATCATTTCCCACCAGACGTCTAGGAAGAAGGCCACATCCTTGGAAGAAGTGTCAACAGTCATGTGCTCCAAAAAGTGCTCTAGTTCGGTGCGGCAGATGGTGGTGGGCAGGGCCATCAGGAGTTGGATAAAGAGACCAGAAGCTTCCAGAGATTTGAGCAGCTCAAAAAGGACTGTGTGGTTGATATTTGGGATCATGTTACCCACTGAAAAGAACACATCCTCCTGCCACTGGGTTTCAGTGTCAGAAGGGCTAACGGGGTAGGGCTGAAGGATCTTGGCCCAGATGATGATCAGAGCTTTCTTCTTCCAGGCAAATGGCTGGGAATGTGCTGTTGCTGAGGAAATCTCCTTCAAGGCCTCCACAATGGGCTGCCCAACATGTTCCCAGTCAGACTTGGTCAACTGCGCCAGTGCTTTAGGGCGGAATAACTGCTCGGCCAGCAAGAAGCCCCCATGCAGAATTGTCATTTCTTCACAGATATTCAAGGGTCCTGTACAAACAGAAGTCAAATAGAAAGGTCTTCAAGATGAGCAGGGGGTGGGGGATAAGCCGATAGGTTAGTTGTCATTATCAAAGTTAGAAGAGACAGAACCATTGCAGAGAGTCATTAGGACTTGGGTGAGGAGTAAACAATGACTTCCAAGCTCTCTAGGCTGGGAACTGAGAGGATAACAGACCATTAGAAATAGGACACCAAACAGTTGGAAGGGAAGACAAGTTCATTTTGGGTTACTTGGAGCACGGAGTCAAGTAGAACATTAGGAGATGTCTTCCAGCAATGGGAACACACGGTTAAAACTAGGGAGGAAAGTCAGGAATGTGCCTGCCCAGGCATATTCCAAGGAGGTGAATGATATCCCTCAAGAAGTATGTAAAGGAAAAGACCCAAAGTCCGCAGATCCCAGACCTGCCCGCAAATGACAAGAGTTTGGGGAGAAAGGTTTAAATGTCAAACTATAGGGGCCATCCAGTATAGAGTACAGGACATGACAATTGAGCTTCTCAGTGTTGATGCAGACTAAGGAAGACAAAGCCCCAAAGCCCTGCCTGCCCTTTTTTCTCATAGCCTTGCTAACAGGTTTCAAACACTTTTGTGCCTTCAGTTACGGCTCACCCCATAGCTTCCTCCAGAGGATAAGCTACTCAAGGCTCTGTATCTATAGTAGGAACCAGGGAATAGATACAAGAAATACTGCAAATACAGGAAAAAAGCAAAGTGTTCCTTCGGTGAGCTATGAAACTAAGAAAGTTATCTTGGGAGTTTAATCAGACACAAGTTTAAATCCTAGCTCTGCCATTCAAAAGTGACACAATCACAGAGAAATTAATTCTCTAAGTTTCCCTTTTCCATAAATGAGTAGAATACATACTTTGTGGCATAACCTGAAGATTAACCAACACGCTAGTCATACCGTTGGTGTCTTCTGCTCCCTCCTTACAAGGATGGGAGAGGGTACAGGTTAAATAAGATACAGCTCTTAATAGCCTAAATGCTCAATAAATGTTGGTTTCTGAAACATTTTCATTGTTGGCAGGACTTGAATCTTGCTTGCTTCCCTTAGCTCATAAACATGAAAAAACATAGGTCTTTATCAAGTGTGTCTCCTTTGGCTAAGAAATTAAAGTCAGAGCACAAACACAGCTCAGTAAGTATTCCCTTACTCTCTCATTTGGAGCCTAGAGATGCTTCTCAGTCCCTCATACTCCTGACAGCATATCTTCCCCATCTTTCCCCCCTAACAATCCTACTTTTTAGCTATCAGAACTTTATGGAGCTGGGAAGGTGGCTCAGTGGTAGAGTGCCTGCCTTGCATGCATGAGGCCCTGGGTTTGATTCCTCAACACCACATAAACAGAAAAAAATCAGAAATGGTGCTGTGGCTCAAGTGGTAGAGTGCTAGCCTTGAGCTAAAGAGTGCAGGGACAGCGCCCAGGCCCAGAGTTCAAGCCCCATGACCAACAACAAAAAACTTTATTTACCTTCTTTAAGTGTTTTGAGAATAATGATTATCATATTGGGATATTATTAGCCTTAGTACAATTAAGGTGCTTGGTAGAGTTAACAGACTCATCAAAAAGCACTTATGAGGAGTTGGGTAGGTGGCTCAGTGGTAGAACGCTTGCCTTGCATGCATGAGGCCCTGGGTTCGATTCCTCAGTACCCCATAAGCAAAAAGAAAAAAGCTGGAAGTGGCTCAAGTGGTAGAGTGCTAGCCTTGAGCTAAAGAGTGCAGGGACAGCACCCAGGCTCAGAGTTCAGGCCCCATGACCGGACCCCCTCCCCCAAAAAAAAGCACTCATCATTTTTCTGTCTATATCATTTTTTTCTCTCCCATTTTCATAGGTCAGAAGAAATCAGCAGAGAAACACTGATCTCAGGAGACTAAGAAAACAACCATTTATAGCACAAAAGACCAAGGACAGGCACTTCTAGGCAATCCATTTGTGAAGCCAATCCATTTTAGCCCCTAGCAGTTGAGTGGGTTACCCAGGATCATGATGCTCTGGGAGTTAGGGGCCTTTCTTTCTGGCTCAGGCTGCTTTCCAGGAGCACAAGAATGTTCCTTCATGACTACAGATTGAATTTACTGCATTATCAGTTCAACTGAGCAGATATGTGCCTCCTCCCCAGCATATGCCTTCTAGATATGAAGTATGCACACATGCTGCTTGAAAAAGATGCAGAAGCACTGGGTGCTGGTGACTCATGCCTATAATCCTAGCTACCCAGGAGGCTGAGATCTGAGGATCATGGTTTCAAGTCAGCCAGGGCAAGAAAGTCTATGAGACTCTCATCTCCAATTAACCACCAAAAAGCTGGAAGTGGAGCCATGGCTCAAGAGATGAATGCTAACTTTGAACAAAAAAGCTCAGAGACAGCACTCAGGCAGAATCCAAGTCCCGGGACCTGCACAGACAAAGTTGCAGAAGCAGTAAACAGCTGGGGAAACCCCCTGTGCTTTATCACTTACGATGAGCTGGTGTCGTTGGAGCGCTTATCAAGTGCTTGCTTACTCTGGCAGGCATTGCACTGAAGGGGTACACCTCTAAGAGCTTTTCATCTTCTAATTAATATTTTGAAGATCATGATTCCAGCTTTAGAGATAACAAGACCCAGACACAATGTCCTCCATGTGTCCCAATGAACAAGGTGGTAATGAGACAAACTGCCACTGAGGCAGAGCTCCCAGATGCTGCCGTTGCGCTCCTGAGAGCTGGCTGGGGACAGGGAGCACAACACTTCACAGGCTACTCATTACTGACGCGGCTCAGGGCGGCTCTTCTCCACAGCCTCCCGGGTCTTACCCGGCCTTTAAAAGCACCCGGGGCAGGGCGAGGAGGCGGGCCAAAGCGCCGGCAATTTCTATCAACAACTCCTCCTCTCTTTTCCAGCCCTCGCCTACAAGAGCTCTGCACCAACTTGCACAGGTTCACAAAGTTATCTCCGCCGAGATACTTCCCGCCACAACCGAGAGCTCGATGAGCCGCGCTGCGGGCAGGGCACGGTCCCGGACACTCAGGAGAACTCTCCCGGAGGAAGGCGGCGCAGCGCCCGGCCTCGGCGTCTCCCAGAGGAGACGCGGGAAGGGCTGGAAATGTGTTGAACAACTTGGTACACTCTGAGTGAGGGCAGCGGGCGTCCACCGAACGCGGCCTTCCTACAAGCACGTGCTCAAACCCCGTCCGCTTCCCAGGCACGCAACTGCACAACCGCCCGGGGTTTTCGCGGGGTTGGAAAGGCGCCCGAAGCGGGAAAGAAGTGGGCCGCGGAGCCGCAGGGCTGCCCGGCCACAGCTCGGCCTCCCGACCCCCGGTCTCAAGTCTCCGAGGAGCCCACCCCCCACCCCAACTCCCCGAACCTCTCCCTAACCCCAGGGCGCTCCTTCACCCAAACCCACGCTAGCAGCGTGCGCAGCGGGAAGGCCGCGCCCAGTCTTGGAGGCGCGTTGCTAGGCGCGATAAGGGGGAAGCCCGGCACCCACCTAGGTCCATGGCGGCGACGCTGGTGGCGGCGTGGGGGCGCCCCGCCCACTCCGAGGCCGCGAGCCCCGCGCAAGCGCCACGGCACAATGGGCGGGGAGAGAGGTGGGGCGTAGGAACGTGCCTCAGGCCCCGCCCAGAGTCTCTGCTCCGCTGAGCTACTTTCGGCCCGCCACTCCTCGGGCACGCGCACTTCGCGCACGCGCACTCCGCACCAACGAGCTCGCGGCGCCGAGGCCGCCAGGCCCACAGCGCTCCCTCTCGGCGCCCAGCCTCCCTCCAGCGCACGGGCAGGTACCTTCGGCACCGTTCCCTTACACAGCCCGCGTCTGGGAGTCAAGGCGGCCGCTTCCTCCCTCAGCCCGGAAACCCTGGTTAACTCCCGAGCACACTTCACCCACACCGAATGCTCGTTCCCGGGCTGTCTACCACCCGGCTGGCCCGTGCCACACTCGGGGTCATCCTCCTTGCAGCGGGTCGGCGGGTCTCACGCTTTCCACCCAGCCCCCAGATGAGCACACAATCGTCCTCAACGCTCTTTACACCGCATTGCCTCCTTGGATCGCAGCGACCTTAATTTTCTAGGGTCATAGGCACCTTTGAAGCATGGATGGATAATCCTTCCCAGAAAATACAGTGGGGACAGATCCAATCCAGTGGACCTTGGTTGTTGACCATGCAACTTTAGATGGTCATCTAACGCTTCCCACAATCTCCCTTTCTTCCCAACACCCAATATCAGCCTTATGTAATTCTGTCCCTCCATCCTCCAGTTTCTAGCACCAAGCATCACCTAGAAAAAACAGAGGTACCAGCTACGGGTACCCTAAATGTGCCAAGTGGAGTTTGAGCTGGCCTGTGCTGCGATCAAGCAGCTGAAGGTGCCCGTGAGTGAAGAGGAGAAACTGCTGATATACGGCTTTTACAAACAGGCCACCCAGGGGGACTGCAACATCCCTGCCCCCGCAGCCAATGATGTGAAAGCCATGGCCAAGTGGGAGGCATGGAACATGAATAAAGGCATGTCCAAGATGGATGCCATGAGAATATACGTTGCTAAAGTGGAAGAGTTGAAGAAAAAAGACACTGGCTAGGACACTTTGGCCGACTGAAGTAGCCTGGCTTGTCTGGTAGGGAATGGGCTTCTTAGAAGAAATGTCCTGAAGGGGTAGTAGGGTTAGCTGAAGCATAAATAAAAATCACTTAAACTGCATGGAGTGGCTGTCGCTGTTGAAAAAGAGAAGCTTTGGTGACTAGAGTCCTGGGGAGGTATCCAAATGTACTTTTAAAAACACCTCCCAAGTGGCTAGGGTTACAGGCTTCAGCCACTGTGCCCAACTGTTCTCTCTGGATGTCATGAGGACATTATGATCCGTGTAGAATCACTATTCACAATTAAATGTGAAATGAAAAATAACATACCTTGCTCCAAAATGTAGTGGCAGTTTGGGAATTGTAGGCCTTATTGTATATGTATTTGTGTGTGTGTGCTTGCACTAATACAGGGGCTTGAACTCAGGGTCTCAGGCTTTTGCTTGGCATTTTTGCTCAAGGCTGGAGCTCTGCCACTTGAGCCACACCTTCACTTTTGGCTTTTTGCTGGTTAATTAGAATTGAGTTTTCAAAAACTTTCTGTTCAGGCTGGCTTTAAACTGTAATCCTTAGATCTCAGC